GACGTCTTGATACGGAGCCACAAATCGCGGCGGAGCAGGTCCCCCCGAGCCGCCCGAGCGCGCCCGGCGGTGGGACCGAGCGCTCCGTTCGGGTCTTCCCGGGCTGAGGGGGATCTCCGCTTGAACCGAGCTCGGCGAAGGGACTTTCCGAGCCCGAAGGGAACTTGTAATCGGCAGAGTCCTACAACACTGGCTTATGCCAAGCATGTACATGCGTTTTACAAAAATGTTTTTACTTACTTGAGCTGAAGATGTCGCCCGTTAAATTATGCCATTGTAGCGACAAGTATAATAGATTTTTGTACAACCAGAGTGCAGCAGAGCCACCAGGAATAGGCCGCATCCGCCCTGTATGTCGAAGAAAAGACTTCTTTATTATTACCAGTTTTCTACCTAGAAATCTTTGATTGTCTCACTTTTCTGCTTGCGAATGCTGAAACTTTGTTCTTTGAAAAAATTTTAAACTTTAAGTCCAAAAAATAAAGGAAAAAAAGTTCCGTCAAAGAACGGATCGTGGAAGCAGATGATACGTATGTAATGATCAAGCCTTGCATTATATTATTTCAGTGCAGGATGTAGGTTTCAAAGATCTAACACCGATATTTAGAGAATTTTGTTGCTGTCTATACTGCTATTTATATCATACAAGTTTTCCATTGGCGTTTTATTCTCCTTCAGCGTTTGGAATAGCATGATATGATAGCGTGCGGGCCGGGCGGTCGAGCCGGACCGGGCCGGGTTCGGAGCTGCGTTTCCAGCCGAGCGCCGGCCGAGCCGAGCCGGGCGGGAGGGAGGGGGAAGGGGGCGTCTTGCTGTGGCACGGGCGGGCCACCACCACCAACAACCAGCCGCCCCCCGGTCTATCTTCTACTGGTGACGTCACGCTTTGCGTCTCTGCACGCCGCTTCATGACAGTACAAGCAATGACACATTTGACATATCATTCTTATTCATTTCAGTTGTGTTAAGTGTTCAAAGTTTCAGTTACAAATGTATCATCTGCTAAAAAGTGCCCTCAAGGCAGCGTTGAACCCACGACGCAAGGACCTGAGCCGAGCGCGGTACCACTCCACCACGGCGCCGGTTGAAGGACTGGGCTGTGACAACTCTACTTGACCGTCAAAGCTGCCCAAGGGTCGCCTGGGTCGCCCAGGTCGGCGCCGAGCGGGCTCCGGGGGAGCCATCGGGTTTCTCCCCGGTCACTCGGGCGGTGCCGCCGCCGAGCCGAGCCGCTCGGAGGGGGACCTGCTCCGCTCCGATCTGTGGTTCCCTATCCATTCCTGCCGGCCGTGGGCTGGCCGGGGGCGGGCCGGCTCTAGGGCTGGCGGGACGGGCTGGCCAGGGGTGAGTTCGGATAATAGTGGTGGCTGGCGGCAGGCACAGCGACGTGCCGTGCGGCGACATCCGACACCGCCGCGCGAGCAGGCGCTCCGTGGGGCTCACAAGGACCCCGCGGCCAGGCCGTGGGCCCGGCGCTCGGTCTAAAAGTCTGTGGGTAGGCGCCCTATGCTTAAATAACACCCGTGGAGGCGACTTCGATGCGCCTTCTAGGACATACTCCTGTGTATGTGCACCAATCTGCCCAGGTTTGCCCCCTTTTCCCCTATCACTGGAAGCAGAGTGTAGCGGGTAGAATATCACCGTCCCCGAATGGTCGAAAGATTCCCACCACCGCCTCCTGTCACGCCGCGAGTAGAGGTAGAGGTATACTGGTGTGGAATCTCTCTGAATCATGAGCCGGGGGGAGGCGGCTGGGCTCCCGCGGGACTCCGCCAGCCAGCAAACCTTCAGTCTCTTGCAGCCAGCCTGTCCCTGTCCCTGGCTCGCGCAACGCAGCGCACTGCCGCGGGACGCGCCGGCTTTGCCCTGGATGTGGGGGACCGAGCCAGAAGAGAAGGGGGTGGGGGGGGGGGTAACCTGAGAACAGGGGATCCTGTGACTGCGCGCGGCGGCGGGGGGCATCGCCATGCCATCGCCACGGCATCGCGTACCGCGCACCGGCATCGCGTGTCGGCATCGGGCTCGGGTGGCACAACAGAAATATCAATTATGGAAAACGTCTCCTCGGCCAGCCTGGACATCGGCCCGGGCCCGGCTGCGGGGTGCGGGGCCGCGGCGGCGGCGGTGGCGGCGCTGCAGCCAGCGTGAGCGCGCGCCACAAGCAAGATAGTGTATTTCCAGGAAAGAGCGGTGTGTGAAGCAGTTGGACCCGCGAGGGAGAGGGGACGCCAGCTTTGGGCCAGACGTGCAGCGAGGGTGAGGGTGAGAAGAAATTGAACGAAAATGCGGGGTCCTTGCGAGAAGCGTGGCGTATGTTGCGCACACGAGCCCACGTCGACGCCCTCCCAGGTACCCCC